CGCGTTCGCGACGGGTGCACCCACGAGTTTTTAAAGTGTTTTATAGTAAATTTTGGAAAATTTTAACAATATAAGATGTGACTGTTAGTGTTTACCGAAGTCGAAGTCGAAGTGACCTGATGATGATCATTAACATCGAAATAGCTATCATCTGAGAACCGGATAAAAAGTGATCGGGAGAAAGGTAATTTCATCAACATAATGCAGCCCGATAAAAATAAGTTCAACTTTAAATTGAACAAAATTTTTAACTGGAGACGCAAAATCTGCCCAATCGTGCATTCCGTTGCGTCATTGGTCAAACATTTTCCCGGAAAATAAGAAATTTTTTGTCTGGAACAGCCTTCAAAAGATTCTTCGGAAAAAATTACCAAAATTTTGACGATATTTTTGACTTTTCAGGAGGCATTTTGAGCATTTTTGAGTGCTTTTCGTCTTTGTTTTTCTCTTTTAATAGGATGTTAGAAAATTCATTCATGGAATGTGGTGTAAAAATTACTCTTTGTTGTATCTGAAGTAGAAAGTGACAATTTATGCCACCAATGAACCTCGAATTTTCTGACCCCGTTATTTTTGTCGCGTTTTGTTGTGAATTTTGAAATTTTTCGAAATATGTTCTATAAAAGTACGGGAAAAGGACGAAATTTTTCTACGAATGAGGTACTAATTTTTTCTGGGAGACCCTGAATAAGTATAGAATTTTCCTGCCGATGAGGTACTGTATTTTTTAGGAAGCACTTAATAAGCCTTGTGAAAAAACTGAATTTTTCCCATCCAGTATTAATACACCAAGCTTTTGTCTTAATTTTTATCTAATGTAATCTAATCTAATGTAAGTGAAAGAGATCCGTTAAATCCGAACAGGTAATGGAGTCATTTTGGCATACTTTGCAACTAAATCGTTCTCTTCGTCAGCATGTCAAAGAGCCGTATGCAAAAACGACATTTTTCGCCCCCCCACTAAAACTTATTCAAACTTCGTCTATCAGTTACTAATACTGGAGCGCTTCTTTCCCCAAATTTTCAGACCCCCAAAAAATTTTGGGGGGCGCAAGGAGGGGGTGGAAGTCAAAACCTGTGACCCTCGATATCTTTCGAACGAAACAAGATACTGAGGCCCGGTTTGGACGAAAAATCGTCTAAAATTGCATACTTTAAGATTTTAAAGGTCAAAATCCCAAAATTAAATTTTTAACTTAATTTATGTGCTTTTTTTCAGTTTTTGAGGAAAAACAATTTCTTTTAAAGCGATTAAACTGAAATTTCACATTTTTTGATTTGAACCAAAACCAGTTTTTTAAATTGTTCGTCTTTTTCCGCATCCAACGAGTGGTCGTATAAGCTGGGGAACCGAACGGTTCCGGAGTTATGATCGATTGAAGTTTCCGCTTAACGCGCGCCGATCGATTTTCGCGCGCAAAAAAGTCGGATTTGACTGTTATTAAATCAGATTTAATGTTCAAACTGAGCAAAATGCATTATTAGGGACCCTTGAGGGTCGCTGAGTCCAGAAATTACAGGTACTTCCAAAAAATTCACGTCTTTAAAATTACAGCTCCGTAGCGCTATTTTAGAGGCCCACTGAGCGCCGACCGGCCGCTCAGTGGTCCTGTACGGAGCTGTAATTTTAAAGACGTGAATTTTTTGGAAGTACCTGCGCGCGAAAATCGGTCGGCGCGCGTTAAGCGGAAACTTCAATTGATCATAACTCCGGAACCGTTTGGTTCCCCAGCTTATACGACCACTCGTTGGATGCGGAAAAAGACGAACAATTTAAAAAACTGGTTTTGGTTCAAATCAAAAAATGTGAAATTTCAGTTTAATCGCTTTAAAAGAAATTGTTTTTCCTCAAAAACTGAAAAAAAGCACATAAGTTAAGTTAAAAATTTAATTTTGGGATTTTGACCTTTGAAATCTTAAAGTATGCAATTTTAGACGATTTTTCGTCCAAACCGGGCCTCAATATCTTGTTTCGTTCGAAAGATATCGAGGGTCACAGGTTTTGACTTCCACCCCCTCCTTGCGCCCCCCAAAATTTTTTGGGGGTCTGAAAATTTGGGGAAAGAAGCGCTCCAGTATTAGTAACGGATAGACGAAGTTTGAATAAGTTTTAGTGGGGGGGCGAAAAATGTCGTTTTTGCATACGGCTCTTTGTCTCGATTAGTATACAAGCTTTGTGTTTATTGGAGTAGGGGCTCACAGCTGTAGTTTTTTCATTTATACATTTATTTTCTTTATTTCTTTTTATGTCAAGATCTCATCTACGAGATATCAAAGATCGATCAGTACTGAGGTTGTTTGAATCAGCAGATATAAGTGGCGGCGTTCTTCCAGCTGGCCTCTCAGTGGTTCCACCTTCGTGGGATCAAGATCAGTCATATTTCAGTGAGCCAGAGTTTGATTCAGAATACCAGCATCAGCACATCCACAAAACTAAGGTAAGAGCCTTGATTCTTATTTTCACATAACCTTTTATCAAGATGATGATATTTTTTGAAACGTATGGCTTACAAAATGACATGGATTCCAATAGAAGACGCTGTGGAAAATATAGTGTGAACATGTGTGTACTGGTGTGGTCAATGAAACAAGTTTCCAATGAAAATTCGCCAGAGCTCATGCAAGTTGCTCCTCATAGTGGGGCCGATAAGTGGAAAATATCATAAGAATCGTGCACTTCTGGAAGAAAGCATGAAAATTTCAGGGATTCATCTCTACCCTATAGACATTCGATTCAGACATAGACCCCAAAAATCTGAGCCCCCTGGGGGGGCAGGGGGGCCCCCAAATTTTGAATTTTGAATAACTACTGAACGGCTAATGTTAGCGTAATTTGTTTTAAGCAGAACGATAGGAAATTTTATCAGGAACAAAAATGGTTCTTATAAATTTTTCTGTGGGATCGATATTTAAGGCGTGAAACGGGGAAAACCATCGGGGAACGGGGAGCCGGCCGTTCTGAGGCAGATCCGCGCGCTGCGCTGTTTGCCCGGGACGCGCGCGGCGGCGGCGCAGTACGGTGTTACCGACGAAACAGCCGCTTGTCTTGGTTTAATCTCAACGATGCGCAGTTTTAAAAATAATAATGAATTTATCGTACTGCCTAAATATTTTTTTCAGTAATATAAGCTCTACTTTTTATTAGTAATACATAAAAACAAGCAAAAGCGAAATACTCCAATGTGAGAGCGCCGAGTCAATAGGAGGGATCGGTCATCGCGCATCACGCGTCTTGTTTTCTCTGAATGCAGAGCTTTTCCGACCTCATTACAGAATAAATTACCCTTTCCTCACGTAAGTTTTGTACAGGATTACATTTTTTTAAGATATTAGAGCGAAATAACAAGTTTTAATACGATTTTGACCCACTTTTTCATGACTATTGGAAATGACGGATCCCTCGTAACTTACTTATAGCTTATTTTTCATGTTACTTTCGGCGAATGAGACAATGAGCTGCTTACATAACCATGAATTTTGCAAAACTTGGAAGAGACATTAATTGAGGAGTGAGGAGGGAGGGGAGGGGGGCTCCACAGTCCCTTCGCCACTATAAGGTTACCAGATTTCCTGGTACAGTTCCAGGTACTGATTCATACGGAACATTCCGACAATGTTCTTTTCTCCTATTTTTCCCTCCAGCCAGTCAATAGAAGTTTTCATTTCCATGAACTCCCCATTTTTTCAGTTATTCAACAAATATACATATTTCAAAAAAAAAAATAGAACAATACATTAAATAAATGATAAAAAAGAAGATATCTGAATACTATCGCCTCTTTTTATCGAGTCATCCTTGAAGATATTATTGGTACTTTACCACGACACATAGAAAATGGAATGAGCAGTAAAAAAAATCCATGTATATTATCATACATTTTGTTGTATGGAATTTAGAGTGGAGTTGGTAACATTTGTATTGAAAAAAATATTAATATAGGAGGAAATTTATTTATCATGCAGGTTCTGATTCTTTAAAGAACCTCTGAGAAGGACCAGGCCTCAGGAAGAAATTCATTGCATTTCTTCTTTTTCAACCCGCAAATCTCGTACCGATTTTTGATTTGTATGGAGCTCATGGAAGAGTTCTAGGTAAGTATGTCGGAGACAATTTTCAAGAAACGGGACTTGCAAAATATGCAATGCACAAAACGTACACCTTAAACTTTATCGTACATTATAACACTGATCGAATTAGCTTTAGAGATTATCAAAAGGTTAATTTATCGTCAAAATATCAAAAAATCAGTCAAAATCAGTAATCAGTAATCAGTTGCAAAATTACCGAGATTGCGGAATATCGTACCTATGATGCGCTGACATAAGAGCAGGATAGGTTCCCAGTACTTAGGCGCGACTCCCTATCACTCAAATGGACCGTTTTGACAGATTAGCGGATACGGCGGCTAGTTATTAAGCAGTCCAACAAAGGTTTTGTGGGGGTAATTTATCCCTATCAAGCTTTCTCAAGATTCTTTTGCCGTTTTTTTGGAGCAAGTTTTGAAGGTGGTTTTGGTCCTCTTAAAAAATGCCTATACGTAGCAATGATGTACCAAAATGTTCCTGAAAGAGAGGAGAATAAGCACGTTTTTATGTATGCTCATTGTTTACAAAATTAGGCTCCCTGTCTTAAGTAAGCATATTTAGATACCATCCTGATGTCGCAGCACCGAGAGAAAGAGAAAGAAAAACACTTTAAAATCATTTTTCAGGTCATCTTGGTACACAAAAAAGATTTGTGACTTTTAGCCCCCCCCCCCTTCCCGAGACAACTGTGCCTCAGCTTTTATTCCGTTCAACTGATGTCTGATGCAGTTATCTCGGATGCTGTAATAAAACTTGACAAACCCATACAACAAAACAATTCGGAACTCCAACAGTCCAACACTTAACCCCTTCTCTTTCTGTTGCCGTGCGCTCGCTTGTATACATATATTACCTGCATAAGTTAAGCCCTATTTTAAGGCTTTATAGGTAGTATGATATATTCACAATGCTTTTAAAACTGCGCATCGTTGAGATTAAACCAAGACAAGCGGCTGTTTCGTCGGTAACACCGTACTGCGCCGCCGCCGCGCGCGTCCCGGGCAAACAGCGCAGCGCGCGGATCTGCCTCAGAACGGCCGGCTCCCCGTTCCCCGATGGTTTTCCCCGTTTCACGCCTTAAATATCGATCCCACAGAAAAATTTATAAGAACATTTTTTGTTCCTGATAAAATTTCCTATCGTTCTGCTTAAAACAAATTACGCTAACATTAGCCGTTCAGTAGTTATTCAAAATTCAAAATTTGGGGGCCCCCCTGCACCCCCAGGGGGCTCAGATTTTTGGGGTCTATGTCTGAATCGAATGTCTATAGGGTAGAGATGAATCCCTGAAATTTTCATGCTTTCTTCCAGAAGTGCACGATTGTTATGCTTATCGGCCCCACTATCACCGCATGCAGTTTTTAATTAAGGTGTTGATTAATTTTCAGACAAATGTACGTTGACAGAAAGAAGATGGTCTCAAAGGGCCTCATCATCATCTCCGTAGCCAATTGTGAGCGATCAAAACTTCAAATCTTTTTTCGTTCAGGCAGGGTACCTTGTATTACCGGCCTTCTTTAGGAAATCTCTTCAATTTTCTTGTTCATTATTTTCTTCAAATAGTGAGTGAAGGAAAGTCCTTATTTTCACCTTTCGATACTTTAATGGCTAACCCCGTCACAAGTTTCAAATTGGTGAATTTTGAAAGAGGAAAACAGGATTTTCAAAGTACATAAAATAAAATTCGATTCTCAAGCTGCTTAATTGTGGCAGCGATTTGGTAAATCGTGCTTTTCAACGGATCCTTGCATCTGACCATGATATGATTGCTGTAGGCCTTTGAAAATGCAGACTTCAATATACACTGGAACGCACTTTTTCGAGATGTTCACCTTTTTCCTTCCAGATATTTGGAATTGAGATATTTTTGCCATGAGAGAAGTGGAAATGCAATGGTGGCTCCAGGCATGCTGAATCATCCCATTTTCTCCCTGCATGTAGCCTGGATCCTTGAATATTCATTTTCTGGTATGAATTAATGTTGATGCTCAGATGGTTACCACAATTTTCCCTGTGAAACTTTAGGAAAAACGATTTCGCTGAGATTTAGGAGAGATTATGATTCTACTGATAATTTTATAGGTCTGCAAAAATAAGAAGTTTTATTACATGATGAGATCTCTAATAATATTTTCTGAAGTGTCTGTTGGCGCTGAATCCAAAAATGACAGTTCCCCACCAATTTCTATGTACATTGAGATATTCTTTCAAAAGCGGGCTTTCCCCAAGAAAAATCATTTTTCCGGGAAATAGGTGAGGAAAACCAAGTTCACTTCAAAATTTATCAGCCAAAAACACGTCGGTAAGAATTTACCAAATTCCAAATAAATTTTCCTTGCCGTATCTGAAAGTTTAATTCAATTAATATAGCTGTTCAACCAGTTGGAACGTTATGCGGCAACGTCGAAATGAGCCGCCGTCACCGACGGCCAGCGCATATCTCTCCCCGCGCTGGACCGACTGAAATCCCGCGGTACCGCGTCGCGCCGGTAGATGCCGCGGGTATCGCTTTGATTGTCCTGTTTTCTCCCGCTCCCGTTTTTCCCGGAGAACTCTTAAGAAGAATTTAATTTTATGTTCTCACCCTGATTAGGGTATGTAACTTTGCCTTTGCTTTGCCCAGCTTTTTTTATCTTTTGTTTTCTAGTTGTTTTTTTTTTACTTTATTTTCACGTCTCTCATTAATTGGATTGGCATGGCTCTAACTAGGGTCCCCTCTGGGGCCATGTCCAATTTGTAAGTATTCGATCTCTTGCCATAACTACTGGCTTCCAGTAGTCAATCACCTCTCTGCTCAAGCTCTCTCTCTCCTGCTGGATTCCAGCAGCTAAGTAAGTATTTTCTCATTATAAGTTTTTCCTGCTGGTTCCCAGCAGTGTTTTATTATCTCTTAAATAGGTTTTTTTTAGTTTCGGTTTTCCTACTGGATTCCCAGTAGAGACTTTTCCCTCTGGTTTCCAGAGGTGCCGCGTTTTAGTTAGGTTTTCTTTGCTCTCATTAAAAGGTCACTTTAAAATTCGTATAATTTCGTTTAGTTTCTTATTAAGGCTCTTTCAGCCATTCGTCAGTTAATTTTCTTGGCCTTCCGCCTCTTATGTAAAACTTCTTTTCAATCAACTCATTCATCTCTTAGTATTTTTTTTCGATCACGATCTCGCCTCAAAAAGTTAGGGAACCCAGACTCGTTCTGAAGCCGGCTCCGCGCAGCCTGGTATCCTTTAACACAGAAAATCATACAGTCCACACCTCTCAGTTATTTTTTTTCGATTTTTATTTATTTTATTATTATTAATGGTTTGTCCTGCCCGACAATAGCTTGATCAGTCTGTAGGTACAATCCATTTAAAGCTGATCTATTTGTTTTGTATTTGAGAAAAAAAGTAAATTTTTTTTACCCAAGTCTCCGATGTAGACACTCTCACTTACGTATGCCTGCTGAAGCTGAAGGTGTATTCGATTCTTCCATTCTTATGAAATTGCAAATCGATGGCTAACGAATAATACCGCTCTCTGCAAACCGACGATTTTGCAGAATGAAGAGAAAACTTCGCTATATTCGTAATTTTAAGGTTGCATTTGCCATTTTTTCATACATAAAACCATAATTGCAGCGCTTATCTTCAACATTGGAAAAAACTGAAATCATCAGCTTGCGTATTTTGCACTGTAGAATGCAGCAAAGTCACTAATTCCTTTTTGCCAATGTTGTCAGTTAGACAGTTTAGCCTGTAAACGGCAGTATTGTTTGTCAGCTCTCAAATTAAAGAATCAGCTTTACCCACACAAGGAGAGGAATCGAAATTTAAATATGTTCATAAATAATTATTTAAAATCATTTACTTTTAACAATATTTACAAAATCAAAACATGGTGTATTTACAAGTTATTCTACTTTTTGGTACCAGGTCTTTGCCTGTTTGGTAAAAAATTCCCATTTTTCGGATCTAACTTAATATCTTCTCATCTGATAAATTCGCAGAACCTTTCTGGCTCTTCTCTTGCTACGTATGTTTTGACGTCTGTTCTCTTATTTTTAGTAAATTGTCCCCAGGGAATTTATTACTGTTTCAGGTCAAAATCGTTGAATTATTTGAAATGCTTGAAACTAGATTTTTTTACCTTGCGCAAGGTGATGGAAAATTATCTCACGTTTAGTTAGGTACCTAATCAATTTATTGCAATTAAAAATGCACCTGCTAGAGCAAATAAGGTGAAGCATTGCAGTGTGTCCCATGCAGTGAAAATGGCACATTGGTGGCAATCAACAGGATACGCAAGTCTTACATACGCTCTGTTTCAGTAGAATTTTGAAGTCTGCTCGATTTTTGTTATCAGGAGTTACTTTTTCGAAAAAATAAATGGACATCTGTATAGGAAAGTGTTGCCTTGTTTCAAGCCACCTGCTTACCATAAAATGGGAACAAAAAAAATTGTATAATTTTTCTCAATAATAATTAAATTTTTATTTTTTACTTCAATTTCTAGAGCAAATAATTATCTTGTGGTCAACAATTTTATTTTTGTAAGGTTTTGAAAAATTATCCGATTTAAATGTCATCTTTGATTTATACCACTTGCTCAAAATGTCTAGCTCCCCTCTCCCCTCCCCTGGTACAGTTGATATGGAGTTTTGCCAATCCAGTTTTCATCATTCTGTAGCCACCAGCTAAGGACAATCTTTGAATAAGTTTGCTGTTCTCTTTTTAAATTATGACCCAGCTCTTTTAATTGCTGCAGGAAACTGCCTTCTACAGGTGCTAACCACCCGTTAGGGCCCGTTTAACGGCCTCTACGGATCTCTCATTGCCATAAAGCGTAATACTCAGTGTAAGACACGGTTCTCACTCCCACGCTTCAAACTGATGTTAATATTTCTTGTGGTGTCCTAATAATTATAATTACAGAGTGAAAACAATGCTATCACACTCTGTTTTTCTTTGCTCTTGCAATATTGGTCAGAATAAAACTAAAAAATGGCAAGTAACCAACAGTCAGAGAGTGTGATGAGATGGAAACAAAATTAATATCTGCCACTTATCTTAACCTTACACATAACTTTCAAACCAGCCCGAAAAAATGAATTTGAATGAATAATGGGCCTGTTGCAAACTTTTGCTAGAGCAAAAATAAGAGTTGTTTCTTATAGATAATGCCTCAAAAATCACGATGAGCGCATCGGCAAAGTCTGAAATGCACTCATAACTTCACAGTCTGCGTAAGAATTTTGCGGTTTTTTGTGCTTCCCACTTCAAAAGCGATACTACGGCACAGGTGAACATTTTGTAAGAGAAGTCGTTCCATCGTCGGCAATACTCATCATGGCCAATGCCAATCCGCCAAAACACGTGTGATGGGACGAGATAATACCTGAACTGGATTAGACCAGATAACAATCGGCGTGTTTTAACGTTCATGTTTTCCACGCCCGAATTGATTGACCTTGAACTCTCCTCGAATTACGCGCGGAACTGCGCGCAAGCGTCGGCCATGATGAATATCGCCGACGATGGAGCGACTCCTCTAACAAAATGTTCACCTGTGCCGTAGTATCGTTTTTGAAGCGGGAAGCTTAAAAAAACGCAAATTTCTTACGCAGATTGTGAAGTTATGAGTGCATTTCAGACTTTGCCGATGCGCTCATCGTGATTTTTGAGGCATTATCTATAAGAAATAACTCTTATTTTTGCTCTAGCAAAAGTTTGCAACAGGCCCATTGCTGAGATAATTGCCGCCAATTCGCCGTATTCACTACATGTTGTGAACTGCAACACTCCACTAAAATTGCTCTAGTGGGTGTAGCTGTTAATGCTCAATACCGGCTCCGAATCAAATCAAACGTGAGATAACCCTAGCCTCACCATCACCATTGGGAAAAATCAGGATTTTATTTTTTAATCCTTTGTCAATAATAGCTGCTTATTTTCAGACTGATTTTTTCTTCCTCCTTCCTCTGCAAAATTTCAATCATTCCTCGTAACATTATTTTGGCGGTAGACTTATATGGCTCCATTGACTCCCTATTTAGTCTTTTAAAACTAATAACCCGTAAAAGTCAAGGATTAAAAGAAGCTACATTTTGGCACAGCTTGAATGTACATTGAGCCACCCATAAGCTTTTTTGGTGTCTCTTGCCAAGACAACACATTAGCTTTGTGAAATGGGTCAGTGCTGCAACCAGAACAGAAATTTGCAAGCATTTTTACCTCCCACTCTGCTGGTTCTGTAAATTGAGGGGGCTTCTCAGATGGTCGAGGTTCGATGGTAACTGTTTTTTGCGCATCGTAATCTCCGAAAGTTTGTAGTGAGTTGTCACCGGCTGAAAATGAGGGGAAAGAAGCTGTAACAGATGGTATTTTGCTCAACATTTCTTCAAACACAGACTTTCGCTTGAGATCCTCATCTGAGTCATCTATACTTCCAGGGATGATTCGCTTTTGACGGGCTAGATCAGGTCCATCAGACACAAATGATGGTGTCGTTCCTTTAGGCGTTTTGTTTGTTGTAGATTGGGTCTCTCGTTTAATCCGCTTTTCAATCTGATAATAAAACCAAAAACATAACCAGTATTGACTGTATGGTCTAAATTCATGATTAACATATCACAAATCACTGCAATAATGAATTGGGAAGTTAAACTGATTTTGCTGACCAGGAGTGTCTAAGCTCTTAGAACGAATCGGTTGAGAAACAAAAGAGATAAATGAAAGAAACAAACAACCGCATTTCAAGGCATAAGGAATACAAAATTATGACCCACCAGTTTCTAATAATTGCTTACGACTGTGACTATCTTTTGTAAATATGTAAGAAACCTTTCACAAAGGAAAAATTTTCTACACAACAACTGTGTCTGTTCATTGGACCAAAAAATGGAATTCTGAGATTTTGCTGCGAAATTCTTTCTAGAGTATGAAAGAATAAGTAGAAAGCAGTAACTGACTAGTTTCATTTTTGTGTCAACAGAGAGCGCAGAGTTGCATTGTAATCTGGCAATTTTGCTTCTTAGAGAAGTCAGACTAGAATTTCAAGTAGCATTGTATTGGAACTGCATTTTTTGAACAACGTACTAAAAACTTCTTATGTCCAGTCATATTTGATTATTTTGGGCGTTTCTGTCTCAAAATGTTTCTAAAATACTCATTTTCTTTCCGATCTCAAAAAGTTCTTGTGGTTGAAGACAATTTTTCCCAGTACAGTCACAAATTATGTTATCTGAAGGAATCAAATTTGAAATCGATAATAAATTCTCCTAACTCATAACTTAAAACCACAGATAATCCGACTTTTTGAAACACAATTCAACATAATTAAAACCTATTAGTAGAACTGAAAAATAAACAAAATTGTTGCCATATATTCATTTGCACAATGTTTGCACCCCATTGCAAGATATCAAAATGATATGAAGGGAATAAATTGAAAAATTCTAACCGAGACCAGGTGTTAAACAAACTATTTAACAGATGTTGAGCTGTCCTTCACCTTCGTTCCGATCATTAGCAGCCCTCGAAAAGTCACTAAGCATTCCATCAACAGCTTCTTTTTTTTACATAGTGCTGTCTAATTGCATAATCAATTTACCTATGTTGATAGATGCTTGCACGTATGAGCCAAAAATAGCCGTATCTACTACCAAAAGTAGTCCAATTGATGTACCTGAACCTTATACAATGAGTTTTTTACCCTGCGGAAACTCTGAATAACCCTTGAAGCAGACCTGAGGAGATGATCTATGTGAAGAATCTTAAAATTATCTCCTCAATGAAAAATGCCACGGATATGATACTGTTCATTGGACAGTTTTTGTAGAAATTGGAAAAACCCACCTTAGAAATATTTTTTCCATGGTCAACATCAGTTTTAGCCTCCGTGGCAAGTTCGCCATTTTCCCGCTTGAACAGGCGCAAATGCTGGACACTGAATGAGTCTTTGTCTCCATTGTTGAAGAGAAGTGCGTTATTTATAGGAACGAAAACATCAAGATTTGCTGCCTCTGGTTGTTTCTTAATGTTTGCTAGGAGTTGGTCAATTGGAAGCCTGTGAACTAGCTGCCCATTTTTAATCAGAGGGTCTTCTGTTGGGCCGTCAAAACCCGACCCCGTTTTTATCGTGGGTGGTCCATTGTCAGTGTTTTCCTGCGTCTCATCGTCCAGTTCGTACCTAATTTTGTGAGAAAATTTCCAATTGTACAATATTTTCTCAGATATATAAAGATTATTTTCTCAGATATATATATTCACGCTCAGACAATTACCTTAATTTTCTTGAGCGTATGTAAACTTTACAATGGCAATGTTTATTCTTCTATACTAGCCTCTTAGAATTGTATTTTTAGTGAGACTTCATTACATTGACACACAATTTCACCTCTCATCTGAACATCCCTGCTTATTTAATCTACTTGATTGAGAATAAAATCCCAAGATAACAGATTTTACTTGAAATATGCACTTATTTGCTAAAGGACCCCGCACACCTCTTATGGGAAGCTGCACCATGAAGAATTGCCTTCTGACTTATGTATTTCGATTCTTCTCAAGATGCTGATCAAAAGTTAAAATTGCGCCAACTTTCTATGATGCACCGTTTTCGCAAAAAACCTATGAGAAGATTCAATTATTCGGTAATAAAAAGCCAGAAAGATTCCTCATTTCAGTGCTCGATTGACAAGCAGCTGTGTGTCAACAAGGAAATCATGGGGACTCCCGCACCGAGCGGCAGTCTTATCTCGGATTCCGCACGCCGTTTTGCTCGACCACCATCCAAATCAGATTCTTGAGGAGCATAAGAACAGGAAAGTCTGAACGTCTACAGGGCGAGTGCGGAAGGGAGATAGCCCCTGAGTCGGCAGGTACAGATAAGAAGACGGACACATGCTACGTTTTTTCCTTATTCACATTGGGCCTGTTCTCAAATGCTTTGTTCTGTTTTATTCAATGTCACCGAATAATTGAATCTTCTCATAGGTTTTTTTCGAAAACGGTGCATCGTAGAAAGTTGGCGCAATTATAACTTTTGATCAGCATCTTGAGGAGAATCGAAATGCATAAGTCAGAAGGCAATTCTTCATGGTGCAGCTTCCCATAAGAGGTGTGCGGGGTCCTTCGTTTCCCAATACAGGCAGTGCAAAAATTTTGATAATTATCATTATCTTGCGGACGCTTGGAGATATTGCCTTCCCCAAACAAATAGCGGGCAAATTTGTTGAGGGGAGTCCTAACCGCCGGCCCCTTCAGGAGGCAGAAGATGGGGGGAGGACTTTCTAATTTCAAACGGGAATCCCCATCAAAAGATACCTCTTTTGAAAGAACATTAAAAAAGAAAATTTTTGGTGTGAACCGCAGGTTTTTCTCACCTATGACGCTGTCCATCACCTGTGGCGGCCGTTTAAAGTTCTAAGTGGCGGAAAATTGGTTCATCGATTGTCTACCGGCCAATTTGGATGAAGTTTGATATTCTGGGGTTTTCAAGCCCAGAAAGACCAGACTTGACATCGGAATCCAAAAAATATTCCTTTATTTACATCATGGTGGCCGTTATTATAACGGAAAATGGGCATATCGGCTCTTTAACCAGAGTGTGAAGATGTATCTTGATATTTGGGGATTAAAATGCACAAAAAGAACAAATCCGTCATCAGAATTCAAAAATATTGCATTATTTTCAAAGAAACGGCCTTGATACCCACTTTTCGCCATTTACAAGGCCGCCATCTTGAGAGTAGTGCAATATTTTGGACTCTGATGTCAGATTCGTCCTTTAAGGCCAAGTAACCCCTTCATCAATTTTCATCTTCATCTAACAGCCAATAACAGATATACCTGTGTTGTCACCTACGTGTCCGCCATCTTAAAAATACTGAAGTATGTTTAAACTCTGATGTCGGATTCATTCATTTTGGCCAAGGAATCGCTTGATTCCTAGTTTCATCGAAATCGGCCCGTAAATAATCAAGATAACAGTTCGTTGTCAACCAGATGCCAATATGAAACGGTGGTGGGTGGGATCTTAACCCTGCGGATTAAACCAAAAATTGTCTTTTTACGTTCTTTCGGAGGTATCACATGATACGAGTTCTCGATTAAAATTCGAAAGTACCCCCCCCCCCCCAAAAAAAAAGGTGCTCACTTTTGTTAGAGGAAGTGTCGTCCAAACCGCAACCGTTCTTGAGGCACTGATAAGCCACGGCATACGGACCACCTTTCTCAGTGTTGTTTTCTTGAATTTAAAAATGTCCATACTTTTTGCACACCTTGTATTTAACTGCCAGATAAACAGGCACCTTTGAAAGCGTGCTTCCTCTTTTTTCTCTCGTGTTTTAGTTATTTTTTCCCAATCTCAAAATAGAGTGAATGATATTGCTCCTTACCCTGCACCATCTTTGTCATCATGATAGTGAACATGCACGTGGTGATGTTTGTGGTTAAGGTACGCTTTGCCAGCTGTCAGTGCTGCTTTGTATACATTCAGCATAGTTATTTCACCCTGAAGTCCTTCAATCTCATTTTGCAGTCCCATGTAACGGCTACTGTAATCGGGATGTGTCTGACCAGATATCGCAACACCGCCAGATTTGATCGCATGACCAGCCAACTAAGTAACAAAATAATATTATATTTTGATAATGAGTCGATTACTTTGGTAGTATTTTGATGCAGGTCCATAATGTATGAAAAAATACTCTAAAACGTACGAAAAGTATAGGGTCACTGGAGGAAAGGGTTATGTAGGTCAGGCTAGGACCATTTGTTGAACACGGTCTGGCCAGGTTAGGTTCAGTATGGAGCAGACCTCCGTTGGGCTAGGTTGGGTTAGGTTTGGTTACTTGGCAACACCAAACTTGGGTTAGGTTACTAAGCAATACTGTAGGGTGAGCTCAAAATCCCACTTTTATGCTACTTGCTCGGAGCAAAAATGTTGCCATCATCTTGATCCTCTCGATTATTGCGTCAGTTCCGTATATTAATTGGACTTGCCTATTGGATCTACTGGTTTGCGAGCATTGTGTCAAATTTGTTCTACAACTCGAGTGGACAATTTGACACAATGTTAAGTAACATACCATACATTGCTGTTTCGTTAGTAGTTTCGCAAAGTTTCGTTTTTTTAATGAAATTAGGTTCATTACCTTCTGTAGATCAATAAAAAATGTAGTACTGAGTAGTTTAAGATTTTCTAACTAATTCGCACCACAGTCTGTTCCTGCATTCTTCATTCACATGACGTTTGGGCTTTAAACGCAGCACTGAGGGATATCATCATGAAAAATCTAATTTTTTTGCAAGCCTATGTATCTGAAACATGCTTCGAATTGATGCCGCAGAAACGTGAGAATCAGGATAAATGTAACATTTTTCCTATAGTTGCCTTTTCGCGTTGGGACAAAAGTATAGAATATTCAATGCGATCAGCTAGTGGATCGGGAGGTAGTCGTAATTAAGCTGAGTTTCATCGTGAACTTCTCTTTCAATTTTTACAAAGTTGAACTCGTATTAAAGCTGTCTTACTCGTAGCTCCTAACATATTTGGCACCGCTCCTCCCGTCAGAAATATATGAAATGAAGAACCTTTGTTTTTCACAGTTTATTTTGTAGATGAGTCTGTTGAGTGAAAACAGATTCTATTTCTTCGCTTTTGACTTTTTTTCTAAGGTTCTATACACTAATCTTTGAATGACACAAATCCGTGGCCGAAGGTGGCTAAGGTTCTAGGTAAAAGAAAACATAAATTCTTTTATTTTCTGTTTCCTCATCTAGTGTATGATCTGTTTGAAAAACTGTGCGTGATGTACCTAACTGTGTTTGATTTCGTAGTTCAAAGATTGGGGGTTTTCAGGGAAGGCGGTTCTTTATTTTCCATGCAATATTGCAGAAATCGCGCACATCTACCTAAAAATTTTAGCATCTTAATAAGTCCTCCTTTAATTATTTCCCTTCAAATGTATTCAACTTGTAAAGAATATTTGCGGAGGATGGAGAAGAATTTAATACAAATAAGGAGGTCGCTACAATATTGAAGCATTGCTGTACGGTCTTCGCGTTATTGCATGGCACAGAGGTCTTTCTTGCAGAAAATTCCTCAATTTTTCAATAATGCCCGACGTTTTTCTCTCATACTTTTTGTCTTGAAGAAGTTTTGATTTGAATAGAAAGAATCTTGACTTACAATATTGTAGTATCCACGACCAACTCGTTCATTGTTGACCCAGATTTGCCATTCTGCTGTTTTCCCATTCCAAGACTGGCATGTATGGTACCACCTTTGTAGTTTAACAGGGTAATTCAATCGGTACATGGTTTTCCCATTGATGGCGAACATATAATAACTCTGTTTCTCTACATTGGAGATCCAGCTCAGGATTTCTTTTGGCTGATGAGGAACTGGAAGAGGATTAAGCAGTTTAGAGAATTAGTTTTCAAAGTGACCTCAGATGGCTGTAGACATACAGACCCTAATGATTTTCCTGTTTTTCCAGAGTTTGGGGAAAAGAGGGAGGGGAGGGAGAGCTTGTAATGTGGACTAAGAGAAGATGGTTATTAATTAATTAATTCGACTTATAGGGGGACAGAGCCCTTCTCTATATTTTTTTTTTTTTTCTCCAAATTTTTTGAGATTGCCTTGAGAGGGCCTAAAAAATCTCAGTTGATGCCCTAAAAATTGTTTTATATACATTATTCAACATCAGAAAAATAGACGAAAATAGCTTGAATAACGTTACGAAAGCAAACATAATCAAATGAGAAATCAAGGCGAGGGAAACAAATCAAATGCCTGACCGCTGCTTTATCCCAATTTATCACCGTCAAAGAGGTTGTTCCAAAAACGCCGATTTTGGCGCCCCTGGATTTGGCCCAAACTTTATTCAGATGTTGTACTAAATGTCCCCGATGCTTGGGCAAAACAGCCCCCTCGGATAATTAGGGGGGAGATGGCAGGGGGGCAAAGTTGCAATTTTTTCAAAACTTAAAAAATCGATATATCGCGAACGGGTTGAGTGTAAGTGTTGCAGTTTGCGCTATAAAACGTCAAAAAATATTCTCTACAAGAATATTAATGCTGTTTGTACGGTTGCGTAATTTATCGTAGTCATAAATAGATTTTTTCGATTTTGAAGGTTCGACTTTTTTTCGTTTTTCGTCTCTCCTCTTCATGCAATCGGTGCTACGTGAATAAAAACCTGTTGAGGTGAATCTCCTTAAAATTCTGCATCTACCACACTTAGTTTGACCTCGGAGAAACGATTCGTTCTTGAGTTATAGCGATTTTTCTGCACGTTCCCGGTTACGCGCGGGCGGTATATCGACGGCGCTCCATCCCGCGCGGGCGAGACAGAGGTTGTTTGACCACTAGGGCCTTATATTCATGCTTAAGGCTGTAATTATCGATATTTTCTCCTGCCTTCACACTTCCCCTTCAATAAATATTTTTTTATACTTCGTTATAGAGGGTGTCCCAGACCACCCGCACCAGGTCTTTTCCTCGGTTGGTTTAGGTAGTGCGAAGTGAAGGACCGCAGGGTTGAATAGAGAATTGACCCCAAAGTATCCGAATTTCATGGTTCCGAAACACCTCATGCTCCTCTTGCCCAAGCATCGGGGACATTTAGTACAACATCTGAATAAAGTTTGGGCCAAATCCAGGGGCGCCAAAATCGGCGTTTTTGGAACAACCTCTTTGACGGTGATAAATTGGGATAAAGTAGCGGTCAGGCATTTGATTTGTTTCCCTCGCCTTGATTTCTCATTTGATTATGTTTGCTTTCGTAACGTTATTCAAGCTATTTTCGTGTATTTTTCTGATGTTGAATAATGTATATAAACCAATTTTTAGGGCATCAACTGAGATTTTCCAGTTTAGAGTGTCTCCAAGGTCAAACAAAGTGTGGTAGATGCAGAATTTTATGGAGAATCACCTCAACAGGTTTTTATTCACGTAGCAACGATTGCGTAGAGAGGAGAGACGAAAAACGAAAAGAAGTCGAACCTTCAAAATCGAAAAAATCTATTTATGACTACGATAAATTACGCAACCGTGCAAACAGCATTAATATTCTTGTAGAGAATATTTTTTGACGTTTTTTAGCGCAAACTGCAACACTTACACTCAAACCATTCGCGAGATATCGATTTTTAAAGTTTTGAAAAACTTGCAACTTTGCCCCCCTGCCCCCTGCTTAATTATCCGAGGGGGCTGAAATTTTGCCCAAGCATCGGGGACACTTAGCATGTACAACATCTGAGTAAAGTTTGGGCCAAATTCAGGGGGGGGGGGCCAAAATCAGCGTTTTTGGATCTCTTTCTATTTTTGAAAACTCTGCTACTTGGGACTCGTTTGCAGATATGGGTCAATCAAACGGGAAGTAACTGGTCGTACTCCATTGCAAAACCAGAATCTTTGGTATGGTCTCTGAATCAGCTGTTTCCTAAAACACAGTCGTTTCGAAGCTAATATCAGGCATTCCCACAGCTGCCTTTTGTTGCACAGTGCCATCCATTTCTGCTTTTAGTTTCCCTATGCAGATATGTGCATACATGCATGAGCCATAAATATTGGGGTCTATTTGGAAAATGCAGCCCAGCCAGAGACCTCTGTTTATAAAAGAAAGAGTGCATGCTCGGATCGGATGTTATCCTCAATAATTCAACCTTTTGAATTGCACTGCCTTGAAACGCTTGTGAAGTCTTGAACTTACGTGAGTATGAGAAAAGAGGTTGCTCATATGTGTGGTTGTAAAATTTATGCCAGACACATAGTGTAAATTCCTTTAAGTCCGGTAAGTGGTGTTTAAACTGGATGAACTGAAACATTGACAATTAGATGCACATTATTTGCAGATAGCAAGGTGAAGGACTTCAAGATACATCGGCAGAATCCACTAATTTTAATTTATTTTCTTTTTTCTCCTTATTTTTCTGGTTGAAAGAAATGTCGTCAGCAGCTCCAGAGCTCTCCTTATTTTAAGTATTAATTGATGGATAGTTTCCGAGAATGGAGTGTAACAAAAAAAAGCATTGAGTAAAAACTTGGAACCTTAATATTTTTAATGAATATCAGTATCTTAGAGTCAATCACTAATATAAAGCTAATGAATAATATTTGTATTCTCAACATAATTAGGAGGGATTCTACTTGTTTTGAAAAAATTTCTTGTGACATTTAATAATCCCAGACGTGAAACGCAAAACTTCAACAAGTGCTAATCGTGTAGGAAGCAATTGGGCCATGGAGTAGTTTTTTGTGCTCACAACCCTTCTGTTTTAAGTCGCTAGTATGCATCCTCTTTGAGAAGGTTGTACAATACATGGAATTACACTTAGAATTCGGGCAAAGTAGAAGTATGGAAAAGCTTATCATTCTAGATGAAATTTATACATCACACTAAAGCTTAATTTCAACACATTTTAAAGAGCTTAGTGACTTAATCCTCAATTCTTGAGCGTTGTCCAAGCACATCGACTTGCAAGAAAGAATCAATGTCATTGTAGTTTTGAACTTTCTCTTTTATTTTGGCGGCTCATTTTTTGCAACTTTTCAATCAAATGACAAGATAATGGATGAATCCTAGTTTTGTTATGTATTGATAAGCAAAACCGTGATTAATGAGAGTCCATTCAGTATCAGGAAATAAAGGAGGACATGTTAATCTCTTCTATACAAGTATGCCCCAATCCATCCTTAGCATAGACGCTTCATATGGATTCTGTTCTCAGTAGTGTTATTGTGGAAACAATATTGAAGATGTACGTTCACACAAAATGCACATATATTACGTTGATGCATGATGCTTGAAATTTGTACTTGTGCGTCCCCCCCCTCCCCCATTTTCCCCCTCATCTAGCAAATGTTAATAATTTCGAGAGAAACATGAAAATGCATTACTACCCGAAGAGAGACAAGGGAGTTATTTTATAAAGTTATACATTTCCACTACTGTTAGTCGCACTGGCCATTAGTGTGAAAAGGGGGAATGTTACCTCATGCACCAATCATGACGGACCTTCACGCAGACACTGGATTACTAACCTGTGGAAATTTGTTTTGGTCAAGAACGGCTTTGTGGAGACTGCATGCTCTCTCGAGACCAAGAAGTCGCGGGCCGTTTTTCACGTTGGGAAAGCTGATCCCAGAAGCGGGTGCCAGGTCGAGAGCGGCGCTTTGCTTGATAGGGCGCCATGTCTGAGTGACGGGCAAGATTCCCACCGTTCCCGAATTGCCCGATGTAGATACCATCGCCCCACAACCCGCAAAGAACAGCATCACGCGGTACGCCGTGACCGCCATATCCTTTCGACAAAAATACCACAAAATGTATTTGTGTAACAATTAAATGAAAGTTATCAAATTTCGGTATTAAATCTGACGCAGGAGGTCATTATGTCTGTAAAAGTTGAGGGAAAAATAAGATAACCTTACCCTCAAAGGGATTAAGCCTGCAGAATTTGGTACCAAGAACATCAACCTAGTCCTGTCACTGACCGTGTGATAGCATTCTGGGGCTCAACGACGAAAAATGGGTAATTTTTGAGGACCGCTGTTAATTTTTGTCGGCACTGTTGTCAGTGTGAGGAATGAATCACTTCTACCTTTTGAAGGCATGCACTTTTCAGAACGAAAAGGGGTGGGTGCAAAATCAACAAAAATTCCCCCCTCATGGATGTTGACCAATTTTCAGTATGTCATTCCTCACTATGGGATGCGCCTTTTCCTAAAATTTCAAGGCCTGAAATGAATTTCTTTCCGCGTAGCAGCGTTGCCAAGTTGAAAACCGTCGAGTTCCATATCTTTTGAACGAAAAGAGATATTGAGGTGCGGTTTGCGCTAAAATTCTTCAAAAATTGCGTTCTTTTGAAATATGTACCCAATTTGATCGTTTAGGTAATTTCAGATTGCAATGATGCGATTTTTCACACTTTCTTAAGGGTAATTTTTTTTTCAACCCTAGTACATCGTCATATGCCGGATTCTCGATTCGAAAAAAAAAACTGTTCATTGTATTATTCGTACTTTTCCATTTCTTTTGATATATTATAGATCTCAGGGAAACGATGGGTAAGGGAGATATGAGCAATTTAAGTTTACGCTCCGCGCGCGCCGACTGGAATCCGGGCGCCGCGCGCCGCTCGCCGCTCTGAGTCGTCTGTACACTCCTTTCCTTGAGCTTCACGAGGTCCTTCCTACGTATTTTTTTGCGTACTTTCCATTTCTGGCCTTTGAAAAGGGCTCCGATAAATTTTTAGGCGCCTTGCGGTCCATTGTTGCCATTTTTTGCTCATATTTTCCCTATTGTACTCATAATTCTACTGAAAAACTTAATTTAAACGGAAAACTATGTGCGTTGAGGGAAAGAACGTAAATAAAAAATAAAATTTCATGTATAAATTTTTCCTTCGTTGCCAAATTTTCGAGAAATATCGTACCAAAGAGCCAAATATTTGAAAAATTGGATAAATCCCCACGCCATGGTTTATGAAAGTGGGGCATAGCTTTCATATTGACGTACTTACGTGACAGATCTTACCTATCTATATGTCGCAGGCTAAAGGTCAAATCCGGCGTTTAGGCAAATGGTCAAGTTTAATCGAAAACGTAGATTGGCTATTTGCCTAGGTATTTGACTAAGTGACGAGGCAATTACATAAAAGCCTAGGCATTTGCGTAAATGCCGAGGGCACGTTAGGCAAAAAGGCAAATGATGTTCCTTTTCAGGCAAATAGTCAAAATCTGAGAAAAAGTCAATTTGCAATAATCCAAAAAACCACAGCCAAAGAAAAAAAGAAAAAAAAGAAAGTCTGTACTTTAAAAAGAATGAGGCAGTAGCGTTACTTGTTCGAGCACGCGATGGGTTGGTGGCACTTGCTGGAGCATTTTCTCTGATTTTTGAAGCAAGAACATCGTTTGGTCGCACATTGATTTTTACTGGCTTGGCAATTACACTTGACAAAGCCTTGCCCTTCAAATAACGAAACGCCAGAAACTGCTTTCGGACCGACACTAGCTTATCCCTAGGAACCTGAGATATTTCAAATTTTATTGCCTCTACTTGTTTTAATTCTTCCCGCGAACACCAATTTTTGATGACACCTGCGGGTGTTCCAATTTGGTAAACATTATTGCGGACGTCAAGAAAAATTCCTTCGATGTTTTTTGGGTCCAACGGACCACGATCAAATTTTGAAATGTTCAAAATAATTGTATCTTCCACTTTCAAAGGTGTGAATAATTTCGAACTTCTTTCTGTCATTTTTTGAGCTGCAACTTTTTGTCGTAGATGGGCTTCCGCTCTTGTTGTGCGTATTTCTGCCTCGCCATGACAATACTTACAAACAAATGGTTTGTCGCCCTCTTCATTACCACACTCTTGATGACATGAATTATCGCAAGAGCTGCATTTTTTTAAGCTACCAGGCTTTTGACAAGAGGAGCATTGAGGTTGATCACCTCACACGTTCTGAGTAGGCTCGGAGCTCGACGTTGCAGTTTCAGCTACTTTGTGAGCCGGGCTGGAGCTTGGTGCTTCAAGACGACATATTTTCGTCGACATATATCTCTTAGACATATATCTCTTCAAGTTATGGAAACTAGCATTTGTGACTTGAGGAAAACAATAATGTAATTAAAAACTGAGAGTAATGGGCTCTCCCTTCGATCCATCGGTGTGCATGGTAGGGAAATATTTGGATGCTGTTAGTCACGAGAATGCAAACTGTGGTGTAAATGCTGCTTCCTTTTGATAGTTTGGCACAACTATTATGGTGTCCTTTTATCGACGTAATTTACCTGAATTACATTTATTGATGCTTGGGTCAGACAGACTGACAGATACTCGGACTGATATAACCTCACTTCTGAACAAAGACATCACTTGAACATTTCAAGAGAAACTAATGAAATAGTGCATCGGGCTCTGGCAGAAGACGTGCGACGTAATAATATAAGTGTGTAAAAATATTATTTAGCTTCTACAGAGAATTGAACTCTTATAATATAGTTAAATCATAAATCTGTTCTCAACTAGTTAGAGTTGGAAGTTGGTAACTAGGGACATTTTTTTCGTTCCCGAGACTGGCTGAATTGAACGGAATCGACCAATGGCATTGAACCACTATACCGGATTTTTCTAAAATTCAAAACATTGTAGCTAAAATTTTGAAAGTCATTTGCCGATGCTGAATTATCCGAGCATTGAAACCCTATTAAATGTGGTAGAAATAAAATCCTTATATCTTTAAGCATGATCCTTTGTAGGTCCTATTAGAATCTGTGGCCGTATAAGCAAGAAATCTGTTGTGAAAGGTGATCGTGTCGGTTTCCCGCTACTAAATTGCCCATGTTACAAAAAATATTTGTCATTTTGGGCCTTTAAGTGCTTATAACTTTTTGAAAACTCAATGGATCTTGATGAAACTTTCCCACTTTGTAGGCCCAATTTAGGTGCGTCAGTAGACACCAAGATCGATGGAATCCGTGCCGTCGTTTGGGCTGCAGTCGAGTTCGAACCGAATCAATTTTCAGAATAAGGGAGTTACGTGTGTCTATGGTTGGCTTCCACCTTTTTCGTTCGGAGGCTTTTCAGTGTTGTCGAGTTTAGACTTTGTCCGGAGGTGGCTACCGCCACCCATGATTGCTCATATCTCCCTTATCCATCGTTTCCCTGGGAGCTATAATATATCAAAAGAAATGGAAAAGTACGAATAATACAATGAACAGTTTTTTTTTCGAATCGAGAATCCGGCATTTGACGATATACTAGGGTTGAAAAAAAAATTACCCTTAAGAAAGTGTGAAAAATCGCATCATTGCAATCTGAAATTACCTAAACGATCAAATTGAGTACATATTTCAAAAGAACGCAATTTTTGAAGAATTTTAGCGTAAACCGCACCTCAATATCTCTTTTCGTTCAAAAGATATGGAACTCGACGGTTTTCAACTTGGCAACGCTGCTACGCGGAAAGAAATTCATTTCAGGCCTTGAAATTTTGGGAAAAGGCGTATCCCATAGTGAGGAATGACATACTGAAAATTGGTCAACATCAATGTGGGGAGAATTTTTGTCGATTTTGCACCCACCCCTTTGTGAATGCCTCTAGGTCAATGACAGCGACTTTTTGGCACATTCAAAATTTCGAGAGAGCGCGCGCCCTCCCCGTGGAGAGCGCAGCCTCATTCAACATTTTCAAATGGTAATTCCCTTCTTGCGGAACATCGTCGAAAAGTTAATTGCAACTAGAAAGATCACCGACCAGAGGTGTCTGCGACGTTTTGCTCGTGGGTTTCTTCGATCGGAGTTCAAAAGAGGTCTTTTTTCTTACAATCATATGTCCGGCTCAGAAAGGAACGAGGGGGCCAACTGCTCATCATTAAAATTTCTTTCTGCAGAAAATCGTAAAGAACTGTATCGATTCACGTCTAGAGTAATCTTAGCGCGTCCGCACCCCCACCCTAGGGTGTCCCTTATTTCTCAAAATTGAGAAATTTTTACGGGCATTTTTTTCAAAACGTGATGCGACCCAAAAAAATGAGAAATCGTCTTGGAAAAGAACTTAAAAAAAATTTAAGGGGTCTCTCAAGCGCCCCAAAGGGCGCAAGTGTAAAAATGGGTAAATGAGCTATAGTATAGTAATTTCCCAGACCCGTGTTTTTTCTTTTTCCGAACTTTTAACTCCTTCCGGTGGCACGGTCCACCCAAAGTTACTATACGAAATCATCACGTTTTTTCACCTGAAAAACGGGCTAGCGCCGTTTGGTTTCAACTTTCTGCCTTGAAACTGACGCCCAGTTCATTTATGACCGTTGCAGTGTTGTCAGAAATGCGTAAGTTGTAAAATGTTAAAGTGCTGCCGCATCGCACCTTAGTAAAATTTGCGATTCCGATAATTGAGAATTTTCACGATTTGATGATTTTTTTAGGGACGAAGCAATCACGCTAGAGCCTCGAAAATGTGAGATAATAGCCTCCTAGCACTCTAATTTTGATATAAATTAAACATTTTGCCGTGCAAAACGCGCAGGTATACTTCATAAATTTGGAAACTTGACCCAAAACGCTGTTTAGGCGCTTATGGGATTCATTTCGGAGAGTTGACTGATTTTTTAAAGTTTGAAGGAATGTTTTCTTCGTCTAAAAAACTCTAGATAGTTGGCTCCTATTATTTTTCTAAAAATTTCTAATTATTAATTTTCCAGTACTTCAAAAATTTCTCAATTTTGAAAAAAAGGGGCTCTCTAACCCTCCCCCCCACCCCCACCTCGAAAGACCACGCCAAACCGTGTTTCTTGCGGGAGGGGGTCCAGGTCTCTCATGACGGAAGTTAACACCTTTTGGAGGATAAATCAGCTACCGTACACAGTCCATTACGATTTGATAGGTTAGGGTGCAACCCCCCCCCCCCCACTTCATGGCAAAAATGAAGGGTTTTGTTCGGAACCGGCGATCTCATATCGAAGCGCTTCGCGCCCCAAAAGATATGCTTTACGCTGATGATTTTATACTGCAAGAACTACAGTTTCTTGCAGTTTTTCACTTCGGGAGAGCGGGTAAAATTACTTCGGGCTTTACGCTTGATTACATCGATTTCGGTTTACATCGGAACATCTTTTGACGATTTTCTCC